GGACTAAACCGGCAACTATTTTTGTTGACCTTTGTCCATGGAAGGTCCCTGCAAAATTTCATTGAAATTGGTTCAGGGGTTTTGGAGAAGAAGTCGAAAATGTAAATTGTTTACGGACGGACGACGGACGACGGACGACGACGGACAAAAGGCGATCGCAATAGGTCACTTGAGACTTTGTCTCAGGTGACCTAATGACAGTAATTACAGACTTTGTTTTAATCATCATCTTTAACTCATTCACCCCTGAAATTTCATAATGAACTATTCCAACCTTTGAATTGGAAGGGTTCAAATGTGTCTTCAGGGGTCAATGAGTTAAGTATCCAATCCAGGTCAAAGGAGAATTTTATTTTACCTGTGATACAAGGACAATGTGATGACAATAAACAAAGAAGAGAGTTTTGATGAAATAGTATAATGACAAATGACTACAGTATGGCCCTCTTTATATAAATTGTTATATCCTAATGATTTTAAGTGACTATAGACTTTTTGGAAGAGGGTCTACCAACAATAACCGACACAGTAGTCTTACCTCCCAGCCAGGTCCACCAAGTGTATTTTGCTGCTCATTTCACATGGTATGTCATTCTTAAATTTGGCCTATAAAACAAATATTTTGAAGTCTCGGATACTAATGAAAAACGCTCTGAGCCAATAGAAATCAATTTTGCTAACATATTTAAACATCAACTCTTGACATAATTTTAATACAATATGTAAAAAATTTACCATGACAAAATATCTGTAAATGTTCATTTCAATGAAAATTCATTAAAAAATTATGAATATTTGAAGCATCAATACTAATAAATAAGTATTCATAAAACGAAATTGACGGAAATTATACATCAGTGAATTACGTACCTGTGTGAACACTATGGTAAATATAGCGTGGGATCTACTACTGGTATCATTCATATTCGTGGCTGCTGTTGTTCTGGAGAGAAAGAAAACAACCTAGATACAGGTATCCAGATTTCATATCTTGTCATAAGATACTTAAGTTCATGTGTAAATGAATTTCTTTTTTATATATGATCCTTTCATTTTTCTTAATAACTAAAATGTGTTTCTCCCATATAACTCTAGATTTTATCACCTCCAGTCTATGATTTAAGCTTGTAGATTATACTTGATAATTAACTCAGACACTTAATGGATACCTATGCTAATCAATTATCACTTGTTAGATTTAAAATATTCTCCCTACGTAACCAACTTACCCAGGATATTAATTCATCTTTAAATTCATTTCAGTTTCATAAAATACTTAAAACTTTTTCAGATATAAGTGCTACTTTTTCCACTCTCTTCTAACTATAATCTATCCAGTTTGACCCAATTTTTTCATTCTAAGACTACTGAACATAACATTTGATTTTTGACCTATGCCTTATCTCCTTATCTTTGTGTCAGTGAAAATAATTCATTTGTAACATATCAATTTCAATTCAGATACATGTGTCATATAAATTGTAATTATTTACAATATTCTTTTGAATATTATGAGCAAATTCCACAAATCGTTAAGAAATATTTATGAATAACTGCGAGAGGCTAAACTTGATAGAAGTACATGTATATACCTGATAGAATTTCCTCTATCCATGAGGCCTTTGATGTCTTCATAATCATCAACTGTATGCTTGGACAAATCTGAAAACAAGTGAAAGCAGGACAGAAATTCATCAGTGAAGTAGTAATCTAACAGCTATAACTCAAAAAGTTAGTTAAAATTTCCATACAAACCACACTCAGAGTTATCGTATACATTTCAATAATGTTTTCAACTTATATCCAGTCATATTGTGAAAGGAATACATTTTCTAATACATTATCTTTATGCAAAAGGAAAATTAAAGAACACAAGAACAATCTAAACATGACTTATATTTTAAAATGTTGATTTATCACGAATAATGAAACCTTTATTTTAAGTTAAAAATATACATACCAGATAATCTTTTTTTTTTGTATTATTTTTTCAGTTAATATTTTCCCAGTTTATCTATACTGAATAGTATTCTTGCATCTTATGGAATCAGTTCCAGAAATTAACTGGCATTTAAAACTTATGTGTATACAGAAGGCCTACCTTGTACGTAGGGGCCGAGTTTGGGATGTTCTCGTACACGAAGGCTATGCAGTTTGTTTGCAGAGGATTGCTTCAACAGATCTCTCACTTTTTCGTTGTATATTTCCAAGTAACTGTAAAAGACATTGATCAAATGTTTTTGTTACCGCATATTTCTGTATGTTATTTCAAAGATTTGCAGACTGAGGTGACTGTGTATATGACAATTATTCTGAAAAGAAATGCCTTTAACATAGACCCCTTTAGCCTATCCGTTCCAATCAGTTGAAATGGTGGAACCTGAAAGAAAATGACAGGCGCAGATCTGAACCAAGGCTGACCTCAGGAATATTCAGCACGTGTAGATTGAGGGGTCCAGACGTTCCTGACCAAAACTTATTTATTTATAAAACAAGTCAATACACATGAAGATTTTAAGATACGTTATAATATTTTTTAATGCTTCACAAGAAGGACTCATTTTTCTTAATATATTGCTTTTTATTCACCAAAAAATTGCATTTTTGTGCTCTGCCTATACAGTTCGGTCCAAGTGTGGTCGTTTATCATGGAATATTTCTGCGCCACCTGAACAGTTTCAACCGGGATATGCAAATGAGACCATTAAACTTCATGTTATTCATGTTTTTCTTGTTGGCCCTGATGGAATTGCACACTTTTAAAGAGAACATGCATAAAACAAACTTGTACTTAGTGCTCATTATTGAATGCCTAGAGATAATATTATAATATCACCGATACATGAAAACTGACCATCTTTCTCTGTTTTTTCTCAGCACAAAAGAACCTTTTATTTTTTATAATAAACTTTGAAGTATAATGCCATGCAATAGGATAAAGTAGTACATACAATAAGCTCTCCTCCTCATCATCATCATCACCTTGTCCATTAACCGACTTACATACAATAAGCTCTCCTCCTCCTCATCACCATCACCTTGTCCATTAACCCACTTACATACAATAAGCTCTCCTCCTCATCATCACCATCACCTTGTCCATAAACCCGCTTACATACAATAAGCTCTCCTCCTCATCATCATCACCTTGTCCATAAACCCACTTACATACAATAAGCTCTACTCCTCCTCCTCCTCATCATCATCATCACCTTGTCAATAAACCCACTTACATACAATAAGCTCTCCTCCTCATCATCACCATCACCTTGTCCATAAACCCGCTTCCATACAATAAGCTCTCCTCCTCATCATCACCATCTCCTTGTCCATAAACCCGCTTACATACAATAAGCTCTCCTCCTCATCATCAACATCATCTTGCCCATAAACCCACTTACATACAATAAGCTCTCTTCATCATTATCATCATCATCACCTTGTCCATAAGCCCACTTACATACAATAAGCTCTCCTCCTCCTCATCATCATCCCCTTGTCCATTAACCCACTTACATACAATAAGCTCTCCTCCTCATCATCAACATCATCTTGCCCATAAACCCACTTACATACAATAAGCTCTCTTCATCATTATCATCATCATCACCTTGTCCATAAGCCCACTTACATACAATAAGCTCTCCTCCTCCTCCTCCTCCTCATCACCTTGTCCATTAACCCACTTACATACAATAAGCTCTCTTCATCATTATCATCATAATCAACTTGTCCATAAACCCACTTACATACAATAAGCTCTCCTCCTCCTCCTCCTCCTCATCACCTTGTCCATTAACCCACTTACATACAATAAGCTCTACTCCTCCTCCTCCTCATCATCATCACCTTGTCCATAAACCCACTTACATAAAATAAGCTCTCTTCATCATTATCATCATCATTACCTTGTCCATAAACCCACTTACATACAATAAGCTCTCCTCCTCCTCCTCATCATCATCACCTTGTCCATAAACCCACTTACATACAATAAGCTCTCTTCATCATCATCATCATCATCACCTTGTCCATAAACCCGCTTACATACAATAAGCTATCCTCATCATCATTACCTTGTCCATTAACCCACTCACCTAACTTCAGCTTTATAACTGGTATCTTCATCAGTCATTCGTGAAAACAGCTCCTGTAAATTAAATGAATAGTTTTCAATAACCTATGGTTTGATTTCAATGTTTTACTGACCTGGGTACTAAAAAAAATATCTTTTCACCCCAAAGGACTTGGAGTGGTATTGGTCATTATTGGACTCATAAGAAGTGAAAATTTCAACTTGACTCTATTTGCTAATTCCTGTTATAAACACAATATTGGTTAATTGGAGCTATCTTTTACGGTGTTGATTTGTTCCAGTGCTCATGCATAGATACCCTACCATACACTGTAGCAACAAAACTGTGTTGCTATGCAGAGATAGCCAAAATATGGTGTTTTTGGTCAGTTAGTATGCAGAAATGAAAGCCTCTGTATGTGACAAACAAAAACTCCTTGCTACGAATGAACAAGTACTGGTATAACATTGTTAAACATGTCAAATACTAATTTGTTTGTTGCATGCGGAGGCTTTCAAAAATTGAAGCGCGTTTAGTTGATTTCCTTCAAAATGGCCAATTTTCAACGAAATGGTTCACAACAGACGCTATTCACCCATTTTATTATGAAAACGCACGTTTACGTCTCTCTTTGTAATGCCATTTCTCTTAAACTAGTTGTCAAATGAATTTGAAATTTCATATTTGCGTACTACATTTATTCCAGATGACAAATATAACAACTAATTATAAATCCCCGATGACGCCGGAAATGACCCTTTATTCCCCTGACGCCGGAAATGACCCTTTATTCCCCTAAGTCCTTTGTACTTTCATCTTTTCAAAGATGCAATAAGTTCCATTCTTAAATTCACATTGAAATCACTTTCACAGTACAATACTCCTTCAAAAAATATTGAAATACATTTTCCTGGTTAAACCTCGGCAACACTGTTATAACAATTGTACATTATATTCTACTGGTATCTGGGTATAACCAGCTCATAATCAGTATCTGAAAATTGAGGTTATATATAATTTTCCAACCATTGATCTAACAAGATTTCTAAAAATGAATTCAATTCCTTACCTGACAAATTCTAGGAATTAACCCAGGGTCATCCTGCAAAATAATAAGCGCAAATTATAATACAGTTATCACAAATAGCATAAAGTATATGATTTTTTTTTATATCTATAATGAAGTATATGCTAGCACAAAAAATGTATATGTTTCTGTTTGAGTACTTTTTTAATAAAGAATATGAAGATTTTAACACATTTGACCCCTGTGACCTTGAAAGTGGGTCAAAGCTTTTCATTTGAACAAACTTGGTAGCCCTTCATCCCAGCATGCTACAGACCCAATATCATCACCCTGAGCCTTTTGGTTATTGGGAAGAAGTAGTTTGAAGATTTTACGAGATTTGACCCCTGTGACATTGAAAGTAGGTCAAGGTCATGTATTTGAACAAACTTGGTAGCCCTTCATCCCAGCATGCTACAGGCCCAATATCAGTACCCTGGGGCTTTTGGTTATTGAGAAGAAGTTGTTTGAAGATTAAAGACATTTGACCCATGTGACCTCGAAAGTGGGTCAAGGTCATTCATTTGAACAAATTTGGTAGCCCTTTATCCCAGCATGCTACTGGCCAAATATCATCACCTTAGGCCTTATGGTTATTGAGAGGAATTAGTTTAAAGTAAAATATTGACGCCGGACAGACGCTGCACCACGGCATAAGCTCACTTGGCCCTTCAGGTGAGCTAAATATAACATGATGGATGATAGACATTACAATGAGGGCAAATTTATCATAACAGCGAACAGTGTTAGGTGTTTTAAAAATATAGTAATCAAATGTGAAGGGCGAAATTATTGAGCGAAAATGGATTTTATTGCATAAGGCGAAAATTTGACTGGGAAAGTTTCCACATTTACAGTATTTTAGAGAAACCTATAGTGAACTATTTTTGTAACACTACCCATAACTCAGCCAACAACCATCAGGGGTTTGATAGAATTCTGTCTGGCCCCGGGCTCATGAAACAATCTTAGACTTAAGTTTTTGCTTAGCTAATCATGTATATGACGTCTCTGTTCATGAAGTTATTTGTGTTTTGCTTTTTCAAAACCTTCAGACAATTTTAGACTTAGAACCGTTTAATAATCCTGGGGCCTGATCAGAGTAAGCATTCTCACAACAGCCTACAGGGTCATATGAAGATGGAGGGTTGGTTAGCAGCCTGGGACACATACGTACATGGCTTCCCATCATAGAGTAGCTCTTCCCTGACCCTGTCTGTCCGTAGGCAAACACACAGGCATTGTAGCCATCGTAGGCTGAGGCCACCACGTCCAGTCCCAGACACTGAAACACCTACAAAATAGATCAAGTCCTAGACCATTTAACAGATCCAATAACAAAGACATAGCGCCATATGAACGTCAATATGATATATGCTATATCATGTATATAAATGCTAATTGATATAAATACTTACCTCTTCTTGGGAGGCATAATTGGAGTCAGACCTAAGAACCGTCCAGAAGGAGTGGTCAAATGTGAACTCCTTCAGACGCATATTTTCCCTGGCGTGGTCACCCTCAGCACCCATTTCAGAAACCTGTGAACATCAATCAAATTTATCATTTGATTCAAAGCTTGTTCAATGCATCTGAACCTCATCAGATCAGACACTTTAATTTGCTCAAAACAACTTCCTCTGGTAAATCACTTTGTAAGTTACATGTAGAAGAAAAATCATTGATAATATATTGTAACAAACAGTAGTTCAGCAATACAACTAAAACAAGTTGACCTCATGCAAAGATTTTTGACATTGTTTGACAGCCATTCACTCTCGTATTTAAATAAGACATTATAAGATTAAAACAAGAGGTCTAGAGGGCCTGTATCGCTCACCTGTTTCTTTTGTTACATGAAACTGACATATAGGTTACTTCAGACCAAATTTGGTAACTAGAACACAAGACATTTTAACATCTCTTAAATGCTTCTCAAGATATTGTTGTTTGAAATTTGAAATTGTTATTTTAAAGCTTATAACCCACGTTGACGTTCGACTCCGGCTAGCACTTAACGATGACCTTTGAACTCATTACTGTGAATAAGAAAAAGATTTGCACTGCTGGTCTTCATAACATACCCAAGTATCATGACTCTAGTCCAAATGGTTCTTAGGATATTGTTGTTTGAAGTTTTTAACATATTTGAGCCCTGTGACCTTGAAAGTAGGTCAAGGTCATTTTAATGAGGGAACTTTATAGCACTTCATTCCAGGTACCTACTGGCCAAATATCATGACCCTAGGTCCTCCAGTTCTTCAGAAGTAGTCGTTTAAAAGAAAACGTTGACGGACGGACGATGGACAACGGACCAGGTGAGCTAATAAAACTGACAATAAGAGACCAAGGGGAACCTAGCTACTATCAAATTTGAGAAAGACCCCTTCAGTACTTATCTGATCAGTCTCATAAGTAAACATGCACAACAAGGGACCAATGGGAACCTTCATATCAAATTTGATAAAGATCCCTTCAGTATACTTTCTGAGAAATAGTGATAACAAGAATTGTTTAAGGATGGTTGATGGATGGTAGATGATGGACAGACGGAGGGACAACGGACCACAGACGAAGGGCGATTTTAATTCAGATGGTGGTGGTCTAAAAATATTATCAATAGCCTAGCTAGCTAAACAGCAAGCTTAGGACCAAATAAAAAGCCTCTAGGAATTATGGCTCTGTAGTAGAAGCTAAGAGAAGGAATGGATGGATAGAAGACGGAAGTTGTTGCATTTCATAAGCTCACAGGTACTGCTAGGGGATTGATACAGTATATTGGTATATTACTGTACGAGTACAATACAAGTACACTTCAACAGGGAATCAAACTAAACACAACAAGTACAAATCTTACCTTTCTATTAACAATGGTTGTTTTCTTTCCATCCATTGCAATGATGAACTTACTCTCCAAGTCCTTCTCCCTGAAAAATATGTGTCAGAGGTAAAATCATATTTTTAGTGTGATATTGCTTTAATAATCCGATTTAATTTATATATGTTCAACTATATTTTATGCCTGATAGTAATTTTACAAATTATATAGGGCACTATATAAATGTTGTATATTTTTGTTATAAAATATCACAGAGGTTTTGCATAAATGTATAAGTGCATGCACACTTGCATGAGTAATCTGAATTCAGAAAATATTTTAGGACTACTATAAGTACTGTCTGCTTTGTCCCAGGTATAATTTCAAAAGTTGACTCCATGTGTACACAATAAGTAACTGATATTTTTATTATCAGTTCAAAGAGTACAAACATTTTGCCGATTTTGAATGTGTATCTAGATACCATCAAAAAACATTGATACTCCAACAGGGATAGAGGCTTAACTTGGCGAGATACTTTTAACAAGCCCAGATCTAGGTAACATAAGCCACTCTAAAGAGATTTTACAGTACAAAGATATACAATTTATACAATTAGCATATACATTAACAATACAATTTTGAGGAATTCACAGGAGCTTCCTTATCAGGCACTAACTACTAGTCCTATACCACCTGGCCATGTGTATATATGTGTATGCCTGCGTGGGTGCTGGAGATGTATTATATTGTGTTCTGTTTGTAGTGGGACCATGCTTCCAATGGCATCATTTATAGTGCCACCTCACTTAAATGCTACAGCACGCACAGATACCCCAACATTCACTCCAGACCATTTTATACTCCACCTGGTTTATTGGAGTTGTGTGGGCAGGAGAAAAACACTTTCTCTGAATATTCCATGCTTGCGACGACTTCAAGGATTGAACCCCGGCCGCCTGTGTGGAAGGCTTTGAAGTGTTAACCACTCGACCAATACGCCCATTAATATTAACAGAAAGGAAGATCTGTTCATTTCTTCAATTTCTCACATGTGTACATACATGTACATGAGGTTGCATGATCCCAACTGGGTGGCCATACACCACGTACTGGTACTTTAAAAATAATAGGTTGAGGGATCAGGAAAAGTAATTAACCCACTGACTCAAATATGAAAGCTGTCTGAATATTTTAAATGTGACATACGGTAACTTGAATGTGGATGTTTCTCATGTACTTTTAATATACATCTTTTATCGTACATATCACTTGTATACAGTTTATAAACCAAAATGAAACTATAGGAAACATAAATCATTAATGCCCCCTTGACCTAAAATATGTAGCTACATCACGGACTTAGATAACAAATCTAATTCCGTGGCTACATGCATGCACTAATCTTGGCGTCGACCTTGGGATCCTGATATACGAACTTGTATGCTAATACTTGATCTTTGTACAAACTTTGATGAAATTGAAAAAATGAAGTCAGAAGAGTCCTGACAATGAATATTATAACGATGCCACAGGATGCAAAGGGGCACAGTAATATATATAAGTATGTCCTGTCTTCCCATCTTTATCATTTAACCAAGCAATATTTATTTCTTATTTTTTCAATATTAAACCTTTTTTTTTTTTGCTTTATAATCTGCATAACTGTTTTAGACATTTGTAAAAAAAAATAGGTATAACCAAAGAACATCTGGAAGAATATTGTAACTTAACGACCTTATACTCTAGGTAAATTGCTGCATGAACACAATATAATTGAGTATTAACACATAGAGTCACATGTATGGTTTTTTTGTGTGTATCCAGTACACCTACATGTATCATACTAGTACTGGTCCTAATTTGTGGCCAGGTAACATGAAACATATATTTGTGATCTACTATTCTCCCGAGCCACTGCTTCTGATACAGAGCTAGCGCTGCCACAGCTGTGCATACATTGAGATTAACCTCGTGACAGCTGATGTAGGTATTATGCTTATGTCAATATTTACATCATAACCGTTCAGAAGCCCCGGCGGTAATATTGAGGACGCTAGGTATATATACTACCCTTTCAGTTTCAGATTCGGAAAACACGGTAAGTAACGTATAGCGAACAGTATAATATGACAAAATGTTTCCGTGACAGTCAGGTTTCGAACTGCATCACGTTTGCGTGACAGCTCGTACAGACTTAGCTGCTAGCTGTGTCGATGACTTATGCTCGGCTGACCCACAAATGACTGAAATAAGTTTTTATATATAGGACATATCGATATTTCCTTACCTTTGGTTCAAGGGCCTGACCCGTACAGCTACCTTTACAGAAGTCATTTTGACCAGATTATTCACAATATATACAGGTTAATCCTACACGAATAAACTTATATACGTCTTGCAACACTACATAGACACAGCACTGAGCGCAGAGTGCCTAGACGTTGACATCTTGTAGTCGCCATGTTTTGAATCGCATGAGTGATTTAGCACCGGAAGTAAAGGGAATCACACGATTATCCATAAATAGAAACGCGTCGGATTAGATATATTTAGCGGGAAATCTTTAAATAACGTTTATTGTTGTAGCAAAATCTGCTCCAAATATTAAAATCATAGTGTCAATCTTAATTATTGATTAGCCTAAGGAGCAAAACAAATAACCGTGTGTGTGTATTTTAAACTATTTGACTAGGTACAAAATGTGTAACCTTCGATTAAATGCATCAAAAATCCATACTATGGTTTTGAATTATTATGATAAAAGAACTTAAGTGGCGGTGGTTCCTAACGTACCATTCGTATTTCTGTGTTGTGGGAAGTCCTGTTGAAAAAAAAGATACACTTGAAAAAAAATGGAAACTTGTCCGTTCGACTGAATATTGTCGAATCCATCTCCGACCATCTAGGACAAAAAACATTGTCAATATGACAAATGTACGCCGTGTATTTACTGATTATAGAGATTATTTTGGTGATAATAATTTTATATTCCCATTAGGCGCTTTGACCGGACACTACAATGTAACCTGTTTTAACCCGATATGACTGGGACCGAAATATTTGGCCGGTTTTTACAGGGACCGACTTATATAATTAGTTATTTGGGTCATTGCCATTTTGAAAAAATATATATGTGTATGTAAGTGTATATACTTTGAAATGTAGCAGTGGTGTAAGAACAGAAAAAAACAATTTCAATGAATAAATGTCAACAGATCCAGGCGCGTAGCTACCATGTAAGCCAATAAGCCCGGACTTGCACATGATTTTGACAAGTATAGGTTTTCATGACGTGTTTTTTTTTCTTGCTGATACTATAAAGTGGATTTTAAGTTTTGAATATATAGTATACATATGTAATTCCTCAGATATGATACATTGTTAATAGTTAGTGGGGCAACCTTGCTTCTCGAAATGCCCAACAAATAATAGGAGCAAGTATAAGGAACCAGTCACAAAGCACAAACAGAAGACGAAACTGTGTGGGAGACTGAGTAAAGGTGACAGTGGGGGTAACATCGCTTCCCAATTAACTCGAATCAGATTATGAGTAAAACAAACCCAATTGCATGTTCACTAATGCATAAGTATCAAATGCATTTATCAAGATTAGATAAAAACCAGACAATGTATGTATGGAGGGTGTACAAAGCAATACCGACGGTTAATCTTCAGAATTACACTGGATCCACGTAAATAGGTATATATATAAAAAAAGAAGACTTTTTTCTTGCGGATTAAAACGAGAAAACGGACATCAGGACGTGGGAAATGGCTCCTGGGACGATCTAAAAAAACAAATTTTTCATGGGGGAGATCCCCCAGACCCCATTACGGGAGGGGGAAGACCACTTCCCATACCCTCCCCCTGCCTCGGGCTACGCGCTTCCGGGGGCGGGGGGGCTGCCTTCGGCAACCCCATGTCGGGCTTACACATGGTAAAGGGGCTAGCTACGCGCCTGAGATCTCGTATGATTGTACGTGTCCGGAACTGAACTGATATTATTGCGGGAATAACGGACCAAATTTAGGCAATGGAAAGAGTGGAATGTATAGACACGTATTACTAGTAAACAATATATATATAATTATTCAGAAAGCAAATCCGCTACTATTAACTTTGTTTCTTTACATGTATTTGCACTTCGATTATTACAAATTAATTATGTGGCAAAGGACAAGTCAATCACAAATAAACATATATCGCTAACGTATGAGGCAAAAGCATACCCTCCTCGCTTTTAAAGATTGTTTTATGAATACACAGGAAATACGAATATATCTAGGATCCTCATATTTAAGTTTATTGATGAGGTTCTCTCCACAAATTAGATTAAAATTAGTTCTGCTGTTAATTAGGTACGTAACAGAATGCAGGTGTTCATGAAAGACAAGGTTGGCATACTACAGAGACGAAATGCCGGGACCGAATATAAGGTCGATAATAAAAACCGGATCCGGATTATGTAGATTACGTTCCATGCAATATCTAAACTAATACATTTGAGCAATTTATTTCAATAACATTTGTGGGAAAACAGTTGGAATTTGTAGAAAAAAAAAGTAAAATAAATTACTCACAAGTTTGGACGTTTGGCGATTGTTTATAATACCTTATTGGAATATGTATACATGTACACAAATTATAACATGAACGATTACTGGGACGTGTATTCATGAAGATTATAATGAGTGTCACATAAGCTTAAATATTCAGGGATTTCTACACCTTTTTCCATAGGACTTTCCTTTCTCGTTGTGAAAACACAGCAGGATTATCGGATAAACAACACCAACAAGGCATATTTTTATGTTTACTGTCAGTTCTAGACATTTATAATTTATTAGTAAGTACAGATACTCTAGCTTTGCCCAAATACATCAAAAAGGTGTCTTTCTGATTAGGAAAAATGTGAGTCTAAAAAGAGAAAATAAAGTCAACTTTCTGTAAATGAACATTTGTTGGGCCACAATCGTGGCCCTCTGGCAAAGAAATGGTAAGGCACATGTTGCCTCATCGACCGTATCCAAGCTTCCATGATTGAGGCAATAGGAGTGGATTATGGCACAGGGACCCGATACTTTAAGTTATTACAGCTCATTTTAGGTCCACATAACAAATCCCCATGGCCATGTCCCTGTGCAATAAGGGGTTTGGGTGTGATGGATGGAGAAGTACTTTTTGTGTGGGTGAAATGGAGGTTCCCCAACGCATGATGGTTGGTTTTCATGTTTATCTAACTAGCTCGAGTTGGTTAATTTTCAAATTGTATAAAAACAAATGTCGTTAACAAATTGAAAATTAGCTAACGAGAGTAAGATAAAAATGATAATCAACCAAAACAAGTTTGAGGACCTTTTTGTCTCCCACACCGTTTAGGTATTATATCTAGGAAAACGTATGTTTCTCGAGGGAATAGTATACAATTGTTTCATGGCTATTTGGGGAACAGTCAAAACTATCATCCCGAGGTAGGGCGGGGAAGCCCTGGAGAACTGTTTGCTCGAGGCCGCTAGATTGTTTTGACTGTTCCCCAAATAGCATTGAAACAATTGTTTTATTACCAAATAAATATTAGTATCAATGATGCATGCAATGCCATTGCTTCAACACTGAGTCGCGCTCACCGAAACGCTTGAACGGGGCTCTCGAGGGGGGATTTCATTATTCCTGTTTCTTTTCGGGGAAACAATTGCTATGAACTATGACGTCACATTGGAAGATGACGTCACTATATAAATATTACATTCATTAGCAGGTGACAATGGGTTTTTGAGGGTTGACAATATTCACTGCCACCTGCTAATGAATGTAATATCTATTTTATTACACCAAAAGTCAATGTAGCTCAGAAACGGCAGCAAACCTCGATAATGACATCTTGTTTGTTGATAGTCTGCTGTTTGCAATCGCTATCGCACCGGCGCCTGATGAAATTGGCTGTTGCCGTCAAACGTTCTTGTGACCATCACGGTGGGGAAACGAAGCGGTGCACGCACATTTTTTGCGCATGTGATGTTTTTCACTGTCTCATGGCAATATCATCCGCGCCCCTTAAAACCAATGTATTTTTGGAGGGTGACAGAGATTTTTGTTTAATTTTCTCCAACCAATCAAATAGCTAGAAATTCACTTGAGGTGTAACAAAAAGCATTGTTACCTCACGTCATAATTAGAAAATATTGATCAATGAAATCACGCCAAGAGTGTAACCAACTAGAAGGTTACCAAGAATGTTAACCAACTCATAACAGGTTTATACAGCGACTATGGAGTGAGTAACCCTTTTCCACTTCTTTCCCATGTAGCCGACTCGTCAGGATCTTCGCAGAGTTTGCGCATCCGATGTAGAGGTTAACACAGCCAGCTACATTTAAATCACGAATAGAACGAGGGAAGTCTGTAGCTCATAGCGACATCATTAGATTTTGCAAAATCTAATACAACGATTTGTGTTCTTCATGTCGTCAGTTTTCCCTACTAAACCATGTACATAGTTGTAAAAAGAGGCGACTGACGATGTCAAATTCCTCGCTAAAATCTATTACTAGCACATTTGTTAACTACATGTAGCTTCAAAGTCTTTTGAGATGCCTTTACTGAATTATATCAGCCTTTTGTTTTACTTTATTTCTTTTCTCTTGTGCATGGGTGTGCTAAAGCCAAGCTGAAGCGGGCAGAGACAACAGATTATTAACATAATTTACAAGTCAGGGAAATCGGGCGGTAATTTTCACGGTAGGATTTTCTAATAGTGAAAAGATTTTTAAATCGGTGCCAAAGAATCAGCACAGTATCACTGAGAATGTTTTCATAAAAGCCGGACAGTTATTTCGGAATATTAATATTTGCTCTGCATCCTTCCATTGCAATGCATTGAGAAGGCAAATGCTGTTATGAGACTATAACAAGATTTGCTATTGTAACGTCATCAATCTCTATTTATATTGTGATGTCATCAATTTCATTGCTGTCAAGACTTAATTTGCTGTTCAAAGAACTATTTGAAATAACTAAATAAAGCGTAACTACTATATCAAAATGTAAACATAAATAATTAATATTTTAGCAAATAGTGTTATAGTCCTATAACACACATTGCTATTGCTGACAAATTTACATAAAGCCTGGCAGGCTTTATCAAGTTTGTCATCAATAGCAATGTGTGTTATAGGACCATAACAACATTTGCTAAAATATTCATTGCTTAATTACTTAACATTGAAGTCATCCTGTTCGTCCGTTTACAAATGGCGTGTCTGCAGGTTTCTGACTACAGTTTTCAATAAAATACCATGGAACGTCACTTGCTTACTAGTAGTCATGAAGTCAAGTGGAAAATTAATATCAAACATTTACGGTCAAGATCACAACTATAGAATCATTCTATGATGATTGGAAGATTGGAAAATGATACATTTGGCATTTCCCCCAAGTTTCCGAGAGTTTTCAACCAAACTTGAAACCTCACAACAGTATTCCCGATGTCAATTTCTGGAGGTCATTGGAAGGTCAAAGTTATATACATTCAAGTTTAGGGTCAATCACAGTTTTAGCAACTTTACCCGAAGATGAAAAAAATAGATATATATGGCTTGTTTGCGGGTTTCTGACTAAGTTTTTTTTACATTTCAAGAAAGTTCACACAATTATTCTTGAAATCAATTTCTCCGGAACTTTAAAGTTCAAGGACAGTTTCAATGCTACAGAATCTTTACATGGTGATCTGCATGGTGCCGAGATTTCAACAAAAATCCATGGAATTCACACAATTATTCCTGTCGCCGATCTCTGAACACCCTTCGAAGGTGAAGGTATGGCAATATTCATACGTTCTGTGTATAATGTGATGTTTCAACATTTCCCAGCAATTTTCCTAAATGGGATAATTGTTTAAGTACATGTAGTATATATACATGCTTGGTTGTTGATATGTTCTTTACAAGAAAGCAGTGCTAATATACCCTTGTTTATCTTGCGGCATTTCCTGATTGAGTATATAAATACATTTGTTGTTTTTCTCAGTTGTTGAAATTTCATACACCAGTCAGTGATATACTAAAGGGTTACTTTATCAACATCAACCTAGAGGATGAATGTAAACGTTCCTTGACGTTGGCTCTTTACCCTTGCATTTTCTAAAACAAGGCTTCTCACTTTTTATACAACTCTGAGAATGTTTTTGTACTTTTAATTTTTATTTATTTTTAGAGTGTGATCTTATGAAATTATTATGTTTTATCAATCATCAGTAATGTTTGAGGGAATATACAATTAAAGGATCCCCATATATTTACCACTGCAACTGTAATTATCAAAGTGTTCAATTTTTTTCCGGACTGACTAAATAGCTTTAGGACAAGACAGATAATTGAACCTTAGACTTCAGATTGATATACTATTTCTCTAACAAATTGCGCTACCTGGTCAACAAACGTATATTGGCCAAACTGTGCTACAATAAGTATGTTTACAGTATGGCACATGTCTTTGAGAAAGCTTTCAAGGCATCAAATCAAATTTAAACCATGTTTTAAATATTGAAGTTTTTACTAACAAATTTGTATACACACATTCAACAGACACAGTGTACAAGACATGTAGATAAGTTATGCACATCCTTCCTAGTAGTTTTGATTACACCAGTATCAAATTATGAATATCATTTATTGTTTAGATCCCCTCCAAAAAATAGTATACAAGGTCAGCAATCTAGAATAAAGTCATCTGGATTGTTTTTGTATAATTTACATAAATAACTCTCAAAAGATATTTATTCATAGAGCAAATGTGTCAAGATTATTTCCACAATTAATAATTCACAGTAAAAGAAGGCCGGACACAATATATGTGAAAGCATACACGCCAATAGGCCAGTTCTCACCATAGCTCATGACCAAATGAAAATTATCAACTCATATCTGGTCATGTTTGCTGCCTCATGGCAACAGTACTTTCTATTTTGATAAGTATAAAGAAATCTCTTGATTCTCATCATGGTATCTCACATCACAAATACCATTAAATAACAATAAAGGTCACAGTAAGCGGATTCTGTAACATTTTTCATTGTTCTGGAAGCTAAAAATGTTTTTTTTGCATTATGACCAGATATTACAGAGTGAATATCTAGTCCTGACCAGATAAGTGACTTTCAGAGGTTTAAAAGTGATGGGCAATACAATTTAGCTGGAAATCACTACTGTACTACCATTTAACTCATTCACCCCTGAAATTTCAGAATGAACTGTTCCAACCTTTGATTTGGAGGAGTTTAAATGTATCTTCAGGGGTGAATGAGTTATAAAGGGCTTTGGTACATTTGTATGTCCTGGTCTGAGAACAGAACCCACTGCCTCCCTCACTTGAGGGAACATTAAACTATAATGCCAAAAGTGATATCTCTAAAAGGTGAGTAGGAGCATTGTCTTCTTACTCATACAGGATAATCCAGTTCCTGCCAGCAAAATATCCACGATCTATTTTTATTTTTAAATGGAGTCCATTTATCCTTGACTAAGTTCATCTGTGTTAAATATCCCCATCTTTGAGCACATACTCTTGTAAACGGGAATAAGACAACTGTCTTCATACTCCAGTAGGGCATGTGATCCTAAGGAAGGTCCTTTGTGTTTTGTATCTCAATCTGTAAACATGTAACCTAGACTCTCCCAAAGGGGAGTAAACAACTGTCTACATACGCCAGTAGGGCATGCGATCCAGGGGAAGGTCCTCTGTGTCCGGTCTCGGTAAGCATACTCTCCAGAAGTAGTATACAAGAACTGTCTATATAGGGCTGGTGTAGCCAGGCTGCTGTATAAAACATCACTGAGCCCCTATCTTTTACGTGAGGAAGGTCATCTGTGTCCAGTCTCTGTAAGCATACTCACCAGAAGTAGTATACAAGAACTGCCTATATAAGGCTGGTGTAGCCAGTCTGCTGTATAAAACATCATACAGTCCCTATCTTTTACCTGAGGAAGGTCATCTGTGTCCGGTCTCTATCAGCATACTCTCCAGAAGTAGTATACAATAACTGTCTATATAAGGCTGGTGTGGCCAGGCTGCTGTATAAAACATCATACAGTCCCTATATTTTACACGAGGAAGGTCATCTGTGTCCGGTCTCTGTCAGCATACTCTCCAGAAGTAATATACAAGAACTGTCTATATAAGGCTGGTGTGGCCAGGCTGCTGTATAAAACATCATCCAGTCCCTATCCTTTACATGAGGAAGGTCATCTGTGTCCGGGCTCTGTCAGCATACTCTCCAGAAGGAGTATACAAGAACTGTGTATATAAGGCTGGTGTAGCCAGGCTGCTGTATAAAACATCACCGAGTCCCTATCTTTTACATGAGGAAGGTCATCTGTGACCAGTCTCTGTAAGCATACTCTCCAGAAGTAGTATACAAGAACTGTCTATATAAGGCTGGTGTAGCCAGGCTGCTGTATAAAACATCATACAGTCCCTATATTTTACACGAGGAAGGTCATCTGTGTCCGGTCTCTGTAAGCATACTCTCCAGAAGTAGTATACAAGAACTGTCTATATAAGGCTGGTGTAGCCAGGCTGCTGTATAAAACATCATACAGTCCCTATCTTTTACATGACAGATATTTTTAGACAACAGCTCCTTCAGTTTGATTTCCCTCCTGTAGGATTCCAACATCTCCAAGGTAGCTTCTTCTACGGAAAGAAAAGTAACTACCAATGAGTTCTCAATCTTAATTTTGCAACAGCATGTGCCTACCTGCATTGGGATTATATAGCATTATTTAAATTGAAATTGGGAATGCCTACCTGCATTGGGATTATATAGCATTATTTAAATTGAAATTGGGAAGATATTCCTGATACTTTTTCTTCATTTTGGGAAAATAAAGCACTTTGTAGCCAGGGGAAGCAGCCTGTATTCGGCTGTAAAATAAGGCAAAACTCATAACTGACTACATGTACATGAATTATTGTATTTCATTTTAGACTATATATGACTATATATGACAACTCTTAACCATGTTAACATTTATAAAAAAAATCAATTGTAAAATTCAGTTTTAGATCTATACAAGCACATGGTTGTTTTTTTTCTCTATCAAATTAAATTCTCTTAAAATTGTATGATTAAGTGTACATAATACATTTTAACATAGTAGTAGTGTGGTTCATTTAATAAATAATTTAATCATATCATTAAATAGATGAAATTTTCTAAACAAATGTTCCAATTTTCCCAGGCAACCCCTCTCCTTAATAGATCTTCACATTAGATACCGTAATCTAAACAATTTGTTTGGCACAATATATGTACTTTCCAGAACTAAGATAGTCTGAGATTCAGAGATTTCAAATGTACAATATATAAGTGCATGAAAATCAATTTACAATAGAACCTGTTAAAAAGACACCTTATCCATCTAGAAACTTCTCTAAACCAGACCTTCTTTAGAGTCCAATTTAACATGATCGGATATTGAAACTTTGTCATCTGAAATCTTGTCTTTTCCAAACCACATATATTTTGTTCTTTGTTCAATTTCACCGTATAACAAGATCTGATTTTTGAAACATTTCCAAAATATACTGATCTACTGAGAGACTTTCATATAAAGAAAAACAAAGGTTTGTTTTTCGGAAATTACAGATCACAGGAAGCATATGTTCAATTTACAACAAATACTGTAGAACATAAAATGTTTGTTGTGTTTATTGCATAAAAAAATCTTGTTTTTTTGTGGTTGCAACCATAAAAATGGTTGCAACCACAAAAAACGAGAATTTTTAAGTTAAAAAAAAAATAAGTTCTACAAATTTAATTTATTACTTGACTACTGTTCATTTATATGGGTAATCACAAAATTTTGTTACACAATACGATCTAAATTGCTTCAAACCATTAGGGATAGAGTATTTAAGTGGGACGGAGAAAGTTGAATGACCGTTTAGTAAAGGTGTCTGAATTATGCAGGGTTCTGTTTTGACAGGTTACTGTGTTTTGTTTAAACTTTACTTAATGCTTACCAAAATCTTTGACTTTCCATGTTTGGAAAAGAATGGGGTTGCAATCTGTGGACGAACACTGTGCCTTGTGACGCACCAAGTCAGCAACACCTCTGAAAATCTCTGCCATGGCTTCCATTTTATCTACAAGTTTTCTCTACAAAATATGAAATAAAAAACTTATCATCTTAGAATTTAAGTTAACCAATTTGACAGGGCTCAATGTAAATTTGTCAAATTCAAATTTCAATTTCGACTGAGGGATTAAGGATAATTAAATCTGTAACTCAGAGTTCATTTTTTGAAACTGAATTACCTGGTAGACAGGAACATTTTAATCAGATAGTATTTCTTTTCAAATCTTTACCACAATATCTTATTGATAGATAAATGTGTACATACTTTTAGATTTTATTTTAGTTTCCGTTGAAGACATTTCCTGAAATTCAAATTCTTTTGTTACTTACCATTTTGTCAACAATATGCAACACTTTGTTACAATGGTCTTCAAGAACTTCTGGCATTTCTGCTTTTATCAAAGTTCCTTCCTCCTCACTTCTCTGGGATTCTTCTTCTTTAAATCTGTTAAAATAATATGAGCATCTTGTTACTCTCAAATTGTTTAATTTGTGGACGGTTGATGATCCAAAACATCATATACATGTACAAAGTTATCCCCCTTGGACCAATGAAAAAATATATATTCCCACCAAAATGATAAAAAATCAGTTTTTCCATAGGTGTTTGAAATTCTGACTGTGAATTGAGATAAAAATCATATAAAAAAATAAGGGTATTACTATATAAAAAAAAGAATTATATAGTAATACCCTTATTTTTTTATATGATTTTAATCTCAATTCACAGTCAGAATTTCAAACACCTATGGTTTTTCCTCATAACTTTGATGCAAAAATAGAAAATTTATGCATATATGATTCCGTCCAAGATAGTTTCATTACTTATCAAACAAAATGTGCATGCAAAAACTCGATTTTAATCTCGCTGAATTGCTCAGTACAATAACAGAGAAACTGGCAATGTTGGTTACTGACATTGCCTGCAGTTTGACGTTTGCAATCTCATTGATGGAAGCTGTTCCCTCGGTGTTGAATTTCAACCACTTCTGGCACAGATTATGAAGGTCAGCTGCTGTGTCTTTTACTTTCCTGTGGCTTCCTGTTAAGCTGGAAGTTCTTTGGAAAGATACTGGAGAACCTGTAAAATGGAAAAACAGACATTGAGATAATCACGAAATGATGAAAAAAATCGTTCATTGTACAGTTGTATATGCATAATTTTTTGTTGAGCACATCATGCATCACAATCTTATTCTCTCCGAAATACCATTAGTCTTGACTGGTGAGAATCTTTCCTCTGATCCATCTGTAAAGGTTGTTTTCTGCATAGCTCTTCATTTATTGTTATCATGCTGCCATGCTCGCGTCAACGTATTATAACGGTCTTAAATGTTTGTAACTTAGGAATCATTTTAAGCTTTAGTGCGACCAAGAGTGTAACGACTTTCGGTATGTATCGTGTTGTTACATTAAAACAAGACGTTACAGTAAATATGTTTCCGAATGTGAGGTGCACACAGAAATAAAGAAGGGGAACGCCTTTTTTTACTCTCCTTGACGATTTGAATATTTTTTACTGTTTCTGCAGGAATATGGATGTGACAGTTATAGGGAGTTGCATGACAGATCTCGTCAGGTTATTTACTTGATAATTAAGTATTTTTGTCACATGCAGGCTTTGTGATCCATTTCGAAAACTGATCGGCTGCTCAGTATATTCAAGGACTTAGTGGTACACCACAGGGTCTTGTTGATATCATATTAGTTGAAAAAAATGGGAACAGTTGCACGGCAATGGCTCAGTAAATGTTTAAAACAATGCGATGATAGTTATTTTGTTATAAATATAGCATTTGCTACAAAATATCAAAATATCAAAATATCACCCCCAACGTATCAACTTTTTTTTAATCCGTATTAAAAAGACCCTTTCATGCATAGGAGGGTACGTTGAATCAATATATACAGATTTTTATACTTATATTTATTTAACATCAGACCACTGTGCTTTCATGCGATGTACACTGCCTAATTGGCTGCTGACTGCTATAATAAATAATACAGATGTGGTGAACAAATACTTCCATGTCATAAAGTAGCCTTGGACATTTATATTGTGATAATTTTTTTTGGATATTTTTAAATTACTTACGACACTAGTAATATAACAAAAACAGTGTAAATAATTTTTTTCATAAAAAAAGAACGATGTTATGTTTGAAACAAAAACGTTCTCAACAAAGTGTAACATGTACCTTATTAAAGTTATCTCCTGAAAGAGGCTTTCTATAGTCTACTGAAATGATAATAATCATGATCTAATAATTCTTTTTACTGATTGAGATTTGTGTATCTTCTGCTGATTTGGCGAAGCAAAGGTCGAGTGAACAAGATATTTTTTTGTTAAAATACACATTTGTATAAAAGGATCTTTCTCAATATGGAATAAAATGTATGTGGAGTTCAGAATTTACGTTACAATATCACCCATCCTGATTCAAAGATAATGAAAAATGAAGTCAATTGTGAATATATTTTTTTCTAGCTATGTACCAAGATTACCCAAGCCAGGTGAGACCCTACATGGTACCAAATTTGCAATAGGATTTGGAGGAAAGGGAGCTAACCAGTGCATTGTTGCAGCACGATTGGGCGCCAAAACAGCTATGGTAGCGAAGGTAATTGTAATGGATCACTGTGACATCAGTGGGTGAGGCCTATTGTGTTCAATTTAATTCAGTCATGTTTTTCAAATAATTATGAAAAAAACCATCTACATGAATTATATCGTCTTGAGAATCATAACGATTTCATTTTTACATGCCTGTGAAATTTAACATTTGTAAACTTTTTTTTTAATTGAATTTAACAAATTTAGCAAGGGTGACCAGCTATATGTATCTTTGAATTTTGATGGTATATATGAAAAGATGTATATTTCCTTTTAATGCATAAGATTGTACTTTTTTTTTTTGATACTTATACAGTGCCATGAGAACACAAGCTTACATTAAAATTTCATTATTCTGTCACCATCTGCCATCTGGCAGTATAAAGGGGCTTGGCTACAGTTTTGTTTTTTTGTTTTTGTGTATGTGTTTGTGTGTGGGGGGGAGGGGGTTGAAATAAATGGAATTTTAAAACACATTGGCTGTGAATGAGGTAGCATTAAACGTAATGAGCAAAGGATACACTTATTGCAATTATGTGGAATAATCATGATCTAAAATCCATTTTAGGTTGGTGATGACACTTTTGGAAAAGACTACATTCAGAATTTTAAGGACAATCAAGTTATGATAGGTAAGCATCATGTAACATTACTGTACTCCAAATACATTTTTACACTATATATCTGAATTATTTTAATCTTTTCATTTTTATCTTTATTTTCATATTCGTAAAGGAAACAGTCTTTAAAGAGGTTTAAAATCAAGTAAGGAGCATGCGAACGAACATGACAAACAACAATCACCAGTTTTCATCCTTCCTTCTATCACAGTTTTTTATGACATTGTCAAGTGAATGACATCATTGCTGTACAATCAAGGAGTCAAGCTGTATAAGTTATTTTGGCCGATAGGTTTGGTAATTGATTTGTATAGTGGCATATTTCTGCCATCGCGTTGCCGACTTACGACTTAACGATGTTGACATAATCTCTTAATTATGTCGACATAAAATGTGAAGATGTTAACATAAACTAAAGAACATGTTGACTTGCTAAATTATTTGCCAAGGTAATAAATCCAAGATAATTGTCTTGTAAGTCGGAAACTCGGCTTTATATCGTGTTTGTGCTCAGATGTGACACTGACTTGTCAATTATTTATGCCGACATCTGGTCTGGAAACTACAAGAAACAGTCCTGAAACCCCAGCACGTGGTTCAGGACTCTTTGGCCGGTTTTCAGATCAACCCTGGAAGATGTCATGACAAAATTGAAGGCTCTCTGTGCCCCACCTTGTGGATGATACAAATTGTCTTGTGTGATTTTTTGATATAAATCAAAATTAATTATGCGTGTGGCATCATAACGATAAAATTGACGAGCTTTGAAGTCTGGTGTCGCTCCTCTTTAACCTTAAAAGGCTAGGTACCAGTGCAGCGATTGGTCAGATTTTTTTTACCTGAAACCAATCAAATAGCTTTTTTGCCGTGACATATAAAAAATGATAGTCCATGGCTGTAGAGAACATAAGTGCAGTGTAAAACTTGGGATTTCAAGGATGCATCATCATTGACAAATATTAAGATTAATCAGATTGATTAATTAGTATGATGATGGTTCTTTTTTGAAATTCTAAGAAACTTGAGCTCCCAAATAATAATAACTGAAAGTCGAGCTTTCTGGACTATGATTTGAAAAATGATTGAGTTTACTGGTAAATAGTCATGTTTGTTATACATGTATATACTTTTTGAAATTTTTCAGAGCATGTTGAGGTTACATCTGCAGCAGGCACGGGTGTTGCACCTATATGTGTAAATCAGGAAGGTAAGACTACTACTTTTAAAATGGTTTATACATGAATGTTGATTTTATTTTATGTAACAGGAGCTATCTGATCGCTGTCACTCACGCATGACCAGAAGTTTCCACCACTCTATTCCTCTGTGCAATAATAAACTATAAATTGCTTTTTCTGTATAAGGTTTGGGATCAATCTCTTTGCTAAATAGGTTGAACTAAATTCCCTGTCAAGATTTGGGATGCTACTTTTGTTCTTTTTATAATTTTTCATGGAAAGGTGTCTTTAAATGACCTTAGCTGTTGATAAGACGTAAAACCCTATACATTTGTATAACTATGATTGGTCAGATTACTATGGGGGGAAAAAGTTCATCGTAAATTTACTCACATTCTTTGATAAAAAGTATTTTGAAATTCAAATTTTTGAAGTTGGTATCAGTTTCATTACAGATTTATGAAACATTCCTGAAATTTCTTTTTAGCTCCAAACAGCCATGCAAAAAATATACATACTTCTTAATAAAAAAAAATCAAAATTAATTTTGAAATGGAAACTTCTTTCAGAACCTGTATATCCCTGGTATAATTTCCAAAGCCTTATCATGATACTTTGTACATCATATTTTAACATTGTCATTATACATTTAAGCCAGTCTAATTTATCACCATATGGGAGTGTATGTGTTGGTCAGATTATACAGGGTATTGAAAAATCTGGTACATGATTCATCAAAAGTCAAATACCACTTAACAAATTACATAGAATTTTATTCTTAATATCCGTACAAGAATTTAAATACTACATATAATGTAAGGTTTCACTGTATACATTTCTACATTTAGAGCCGGTCTAAATAAAAAAAACTGTATTTTGAAAGAACATAAAAATTGAAAAATGTTGTTGTCATTTTAAACAGATTATACATTTACTGTATAAAAAGAGGATATATGTGATAAAAATTGTCATTTTTAGGACAGAATTCCATTGTTATTGTGGCGGGAGCAAACCTATTATTAACAGAGGATAATGTCCGGGCTGCAGAGGCTGTTGTCAAGGAAACCAAAATTGTCGTCTGCCAATTGGAGATTCCTGCACAATCAACACTTGCAGCTTTAAAACTTGCCAAAAAACACAACGGTAAGATTAATAAATTATGCACAAAAATCTAAAGAAATTATAAAAAAAAATCACTTTGTTAAGGTACATGAAGAAATGTTCAGGTAATTGATAAAAACAAGTTGTTGCATATGAATGTATGGGCCAATGAAACAGTCCCTGTTGTCAGAGGATTTGCAGAAACTTTACTCCCTAAACTTGCTTCAGAAATACCCAAATTTTTAGTTAGTGTTTCTACTGAATTTTAGATTTGGGGGTATATTTGATACATTTTCCAGATTCTGTACCCCTTAATTTAGTTACATCAGGTAATTCTTGAAAACTGGGGGTACAACCAACTGTTTTGAGAGTGAAAAATATCATTTGTGGGTTTCTTGGAACACTGTTATTAGCTATCAATAAGAATCAATACAACACTCTTTAGCTTAGATCAAAGTTACATAAACTGTTCTGTACTTTGTAAGCCAATTTGATTTCAGTCTGTTATTTTAGTGTTTAAAACGTATAAAAATAATCAACGTAGTGTTGAGTATATGGTTTTGAGATTGCACGATAAAATATATAGGGAAAGCTGACAAGAAAATTATGTTATTTTAGTGTTTAAAACGTAAATAAATAATCAATGTAGTGTTGAGTACATGGTTTTGAGATTGCACCATAAAATATATAGGGAAAGCTGACAAGAAAATTATGTTATTTTAGTGTTTAAAACGTAAATAAATAATCAATGTAGTGTTGAGTATGTGGTTTTGAAATTGCACCATAAAATATATAGAGAAAGCTGACAAGAAAATTAACTGCCGTGTAGAATTGATAGGATCATCTTACTGCAAAATTTGTGAAAAGAAAGTGTTGCATAATTTACTCTGGAAAACAGAATATATAACCCTGTATACAATATACTGTATATTTAGAAATTTTTGCCAAGATACATGTTTGCCAATCCTGGATGATTGGTGTCCTGTGTGAAAACCTGCTTTCTCATATAGTTAATTACTATGCACTGTATATATTGTGTATATCGTTGTCATGATAAACTTGCCCAATTACAGCGGATGAAAAAGTTAAAATGTGGCAAAAAAAATATTCCTTAAATAAGTAAAACCATGATAAATAAAATGAAATTGTGAGGTAGAGAATTATCAACTAAAAATATATTTGTGTTTATTTCCAGTGAGGAGTATTTTCAATCCTGCTCCAGCACAATCTGGACTTTCTGACGAGTTCTTTAGTGAGTGTCACATCTTCTGTGCCAATGAAACAGAGGTAACTAGGGTTTTTCTTGTGTGTAGTAGCTTGGTCTGTCCAATGTTAGAAATCTCCAGTGGTTTTGTACTGTAATGAGGTATGAGGAATAGTTTCTGTTATATGTGTAATTATCTCCTGGACGGATCTGCAATGCTGGAAGTTGAACTCAACCTCTCAAACAAAATCAAATTTTCACCATATTCTTATAAATTTCAACCCATGCATCAAATGCTATATGCTGCCTACCTTTCATGGTCCATAATTGACTTGATCAGCATCTCCATCAACATTAAGTTTTTGCATTTAACTTAGTTTCTCGGATATGTGCATTGATGGTCAAAGTGGGGCTCAGGCGAGACATATCAATCCGAATGGCTTGTTATTGTAACTTGTTGACTTCTGGTGGCAGGATCCAGATGTAAACATTTTACAATTGGAATATTAACTGAGCTGTAATTGTATGCTAAGTGCTCATAAAATGGTCAATTAACATTTCAAAGATAATTTATCACTTGATTAGGAATTGATCTTTGGCACAGAATCTGAGTTTGAGAATAACAATGCTTTTATTAATGAAGGCCCATACCTACTGGTTGTCTATGAGGTGTAGTGCAATTTGAACAGCTATATATGTGTAGCAGAACTTGACTGGGTCGATCATCGTCGACCAGATACCTCAATTGGTAGAGCGTCTGTCTAGAGTTCGGAAGGTTCCTGGTTCAAACCCCTGTTTGGCCATGCAATTTTCCTCTCCTGTTACAGTGGTGCCTGTGACTAACCCTTGTTTCAAGCATTTGATGTATGTTTGGCAAGGGGATACCCGAACCTGGGTTGTAGATAGTTGTGTTTACGGGGGAGAAGACTTAGAAAAGGAGGGAGGAATGTAGCGGAACTGGATTGGGTCGATCATTGGCGACCAGATACCTCAATTGGTAGAGCGTCCGTCTAGTGTTCGGAAGGTCCCCGGTTCGAACCCCGGTCTGGCCGTGCATTTTTCTTCTCCCGTTACATATGTAATGCTTACAGTACTGTCATGTGTTTTATCTATTTTACTTACGGTATTCCGTAGATTGCGACACTGCGATCACCCATTCAAGTTCGTTACATATATGTGTTATTGTGCAGGTTCATATATAGTTGATCTTTATAATTTGTAAAGTAAAATAATTTTTTTACTTACACTGTATTTATTTACTGTAAATAAAATCTGAATTCATTTATCAGATACATGTATACACACTGATTGGTAAAATCTCAAATCGGAGAAAGAATCCAACACATGGGAAACTCTAACGTTGAACGACACAATTAAGAGTAAACTTAATTTACATTAAGCTATCGATTTAATATTCAATGTAACATCAACGTATTGATTTAGTTCTGATATTCATCACTACGTAGGCGGAGATCCTGACAGGTTTACCAGTAAAAGATATAGAGGGCGCCTGTAAAGCTACTCTGGCCTTGCTGGACAAAGGCTGTAGCGTGGTCATTCTCACACTAGGGGTCATGGGGTCAGTGTTTGCCACTCAGGAGAACCGGAAACCGATTCATGTAGCGGCTCAATCGGTCACTGCTGTTGATACCACTGTAAGTATATAGTATTATATGTATGCTGCATCAATATAATACTCTCTATTAACAATAATAGTGATCTCTAACCCAATAATGTAAGGATATAGAATTATATGTATGCTGCATCAATATAATGCTCTCTATTAACAATAATAGTGATTTATAGCCAAATAATGTAAGGATATAGTATTATATGTATGCTGCATCAATATAATACGCTCTATTAACAATAATAGTGATTTATAGCCCAATAATGTAAGGATATAGTATTATATGTATGCTGCATCAATATGATACTCTCTATTAACAATAATAGTGATCTCTAGCCCAATAATGTAAGGATATACATGTAGTATTATATGTATGCTGCATCAATATAATACTCTCTATTAACAATAATAGTTATCTCTAGCCCAATAATGTAAGGATATAGTATTATATGTATGCTCCATCAATATAATACGCTCTATTAACAATAATAGTGATTTATTGCCCAATAATGTAAGGATATAGTATTATATGTATGCTGCATCAATATAATACTCTATAAACAATAATAGTAATCTCTCGCCCAATAATGTAAGGATATAGTATTATATGTATGCTGCATCAATATAATACTCTATAAACAATAATAGTGATCTCTCGCCCAATAATGTAAGGATATAGTATTATATGTATGCTGCATCAATATAAACGATAGTGATCTCCAGCCCAATAACATAAGTATATACTGTATAACATGAAATGTTCGTTGTGTATAAACATTCGTGGTTTTAGTGGTTGCTATTGAACCGCGAAATCAAATACAGCGAATTTGAATGATATACATGTCTACTGTATGCTAATATAGGATAATCATGAAATTGTGTACCACAAAACGTTCTAAATGGCTTTAAACCACGAAGGAAAGTACCCACGAATATTTTGTGTTACACAGTAAGTATTATATGTATGCTGCATATACTCTTTATTATAATGATAGTGATTTCCAGCCTAATAACGTAAGAAACAAGTATTATACATATATGCTGCATATACTCTCTATTACAATGATAGTGATCAGCTCCAGCCCAATAATATTGGTGGGAGATATACAAATTGGTTCCTTAAAAAAGTTCCATCTGTGTGTGTGTGGGTGCCCTGTCTAGAAGCAATTCTCTCTGTAACTGATGAAGGTTACTATGTAGAACTGTATGGGCACATCATTCCAGTAGCCTAGTAGTTATGGAAACCATGAGCCAGAAATGCAAAATTCTTGAGCATATCTCGATCTCGAAAAAATGTTCAAGAGAACTCTACAAAACATTTATTACATCAATATATAAGGGTAGGTAGGTGTGTACATTTTGTAAATAAATTTCATTTTTTATAAGGTTTATAAAGGAAAACATATCTGGCTTTTAACAGTGCTTCCATGAAAATTGCGAAAAATAGTTTAGGGTTGTCACAAAACATTAGGGTAGGTAGGATTACTGGGAACAAACAATATTATTTTATGTTGGCCTTGAATATAAGATAGTTGACTGAAAATTCAGTAGTGTTTGCCTTTATGGTAGTCAATTGACTCATTAGTTACTAAAATAAAAATTTCACCGTCTCCCTCCTTGTATTCACTCATTTGCTAGTTTTTTTTACACCTGTGATAGATCAAGGTCACTGTAACTAAAAATAGGATTTTAACTTTCATATACTTTGTCATCACTCTAGCTGCCATTTCTTATAATTTTTTGATAAAATTTTACACGTTTGCACTAGACTTGCCTTTAAAATTCAGCATAACTGTTACATTCCAAGGTCAAGGTCACTTATTAAAAGTATAATTCCAGCATCACCCTGCTGTACTTTCATGAAATTTCACATACATACCTTTAACAAGTTTGAACATTGTTGCATTCAACCCAAGGTCAATGTCATTTGTTACTAACAATAGTCTTATTAGCTTGCAAATCCTACTCTTCCTTAAAAGGCTGTTTGGATTACCTTTATATATGTTAGGAATTTTCTGTTTTGAATGATCGTATAATTTATAAATGAAGTTCATACGGCCTCATAGCTGAATAGGTGTAGCAGACTGGAGGGTGATTGTGTGATCTTTGCTGATGTTTTTTCCAATTTCTCAAGACCAGTTTTAAAATCAGTTTCTTCACTCAGACGTTTGATGTATTTTAGGGTGCTGGTGATGCCTTCGTTGGAGCGCTTGCATACTACCTATCCAACAGTCCCTCACTGACCTTACAAGAGATCATACAGAGGTCAACTGAGGTGGCAGGGGTCAGTGTTCAGTCACCTGGAACTCAGACAAGTTTTCCCTGGAAGAAAGACCTACCACCAAAGTTGTTTAGTTGATATACATACATGTGGTTAATTTTATAATGAAATAAATAAAGAGTCTATGTATTGTAAGAAGTCTTTATGTCTCTATGATTGAACATCAGTAGGAAAGTACCATTTAAGCTTACCTGGCCTAAAGGGGCCAGGTGAGCTGAAGGTCATGGCCTGACATCTGTCGTTTTACAAACTTTTGTTCGTCTTTTATCTGTCTTTCCCTAAAACACATCTTGTTCAAAAAGACAAAAGGGACTTTTGACTAAATTTGGTCTAGAGCATCTTTGGTTTCAATGCAACTCATCAAGGTATGATGTAAGAGTGTGGCTACTCTTTGGCAAGAGGGATGGGGCCTAGAAATTTGAATCCATGACTTTATTTGCCTGGAAATTCCACTCTTCCTGAAAGGCAGTTGGGATTGCCTCTATATTTGTGTTAAATTTAACTGAAAACAATTCCTGCTATACAAACACAAAGAAACATTAATGCATAAAAAGACAAAAATGCCCATGTTACCAGCATTGGCTCTTGGGTCCAGCTTCACACTTCGGACTTAGGTCATGCATCATATGTTAGAAACGCAGGAGAAAACTATTATATAGACATAGCCCGTTGTTCAATCCTATTAATATACGACCTTGAAAAAAATAATTGGAATGAAACGAAATATCTTGGAAATGTCAGAATCCCCACCCGAAAGCTAGATATGCATTGCTTGGCATCAAGAAATGAAAACGACCACCCTGCTGGGATTAGTATGAGGTCTGGCCCTACCACTTGTGACTTGTCCCAAAGAGATCCTCACCCCTTAACTATTGGTGCCTGTTTTAGCATTGGCATTGATTACTTTTATTAGTCCCTTGTCATAGCACGGAAACGGTTGATATTCCTTCCTTTTAACCATATAAATAACAGTGGCTAGCACGGAAAGACAAAAAAAAAAATCATGCTCCTTGGTCCAGCCTAGACCCGAGCTACTTAGTCCCACGGCAGTAACATGGAAATAATTGAGATTCCGAGCTTATAACCATACATTAATGAGAATATTTAGGCTTCTTGTAGATTCGTTTTTTGAAAGGTGGGGTTTAGCTTGTGCTAAAAGTCTGAAAATTATCACAAGCAATACGAAGTAAGGAGTCACCAACTTAAAACAAATAAATTATGAATCGCCAAAGAGACCCAAACAAACGAAACAAAGCAAAAAATTAAATGCATCTTATTACCATTTCCCTCATTAAGGGTTCATCGATTGTACTAAATGTTAAAAGAAAGAATACCAATGTCTGGAGTGTTCTGAAAGAGACAGTTATACTTGTGCACACATCGTTACACATAAACATCATTTTTTCAAAAATTAATGAACAGGACAAAGGACAACGGCCAAAACCTCACCCATACAATGCAATCACATGTCATATTCTATGTGTCACACCGTTCTGCAAGTGATCCCTCAATCAACTCAACGTGTTGCTTAGATATGTCGTTCTAGTTCTTTCAATTATGTTAAATGCAGACATAGATGACAAAAATACTTATCCATTGTTTATGTTTCTTTGATAATGACAACACATAGTCAATTGACAAAATGTGATTTTTCAAAAGCAATACATCATATCACGTCATATTTAATTACTTCGGTTTATCCTTACACGGATATCTACAAATGGTAGCAAGTTAACATCTCACAAAAATAATGAGAAGACACAATCATTCGTATACAGATTATGTTATATTGTACTTTGTTTATTCTATTGCATAAAAGTCATACCAATGGTCGGTTGATTGAATAAAGCATACTCCGAAATAATAACGCACTTGTACGGTTATGTGTCTGTTAGTTTTACATCGACTATTTTCGGGTTTGGATTTTAGGTTGCCTATGTAACCCGTTCAAAGAGTCCCTTCATTGCTCGCTCTTTTGATACTCATGTCAAATCTTGAACTGTGAAAAACATCTAGAAAATACCCAGTGAATGCTACATCTACAGTTATCAAGGTTTTCTATACAAAATGTGTCGATCTACACTGACCATGTTTCATTTTACTGTCAACATTTTTAGCCATGATTTTTTAATGGAGATGCAAGCATAGAAACACAATAAACTATTCTAGTAGCATTCTCGACAGTGTTTACAGTTATTTTTATCAGTGACAATATCAACGATGACTTACAGTAGCATTTGATTTTTTAAATCTTGTGTCCTGATTATATTGAAGTTTTGAGTTCTAATTACTACGATGGAAAAGTTTGAAATAAGTCATATCAATCTTTCGGTCATTGAGAAACAAAATGTTTTATTTCGTTAACATCTGTCTGTGAACATTCTCCGATGTCTTCGTGGCTTGTATTTGTGGCCCAAGAAGTGGTATTCATTTTATGAAGGGCGGGGTGGGGTTGGGACTATTGAGTTATGCTGTCTTTTGTTTGGAGTCTCACCAGTTCCAACTTCTGTAGTTATCGCTATGGTAATACGGATTTCTAGCTTTGTCTTTGAAATTTCCCATGATTAAGAGATTTGTTTTACTTTACCTTTTGGAATACTAATGGATATATGAAATGAAGTGCAACAAACGAATGATTCAGCAAAGTGGAATGAAAATAAATGTCTATCCATATTGATACTTATGTCGAAGAGAAAAACTATTACCTAAATATCAAAAATGTGTTTAACAAATTCACCAGTGAGTTTTATAGATATCTTACGTTTCTTAACAAAAAAAATAAACATAGTTTTGAAAAATGTGCCAGAGGGTTTTTAATCGTCATATTTCATATAAGACACAAATATGAAAACAACTCAACAATATTTTACTGATCTTGGTGCTATTGACTTCATATTGTAGGTCATGAATGTGTCATTTCATTAAGAATGCTAATGTTGTTTTAGCAAATTTGCAAGAACGTTTTATGACGTCATGTCAAAATGATTTATCATATCTTTATATCTTTATACAGCTAGCATGTTTATAATTGAAAGCTATTCATATCTTGATTACCGGCTCTGTTTATTCTTGTGATAATCTGTTCAAGATTTAAGCTGCTGTAAATAGAACGTTTTAAATGTTTAATTTCTGTTATTGGTTGTTTAGTACAGAACGAAGGTTGTCATGCTACTATACTACTATGTATATTGTAAGCTACAAGATTAATTTATAGATTCTTCTGGACCAGTGATATACACACTGTTTCTTATAAAATATTCATGCTTTCCTTCTTATCAGTTTAACGTTTTACGATCCCCTTTGTTAACACAATCTTTTGATGATTCCTGATAGGTTTGCACGTCAGCCCGGTAATCGTTACTATTCGCTCTACTAATATTCACGCTACCGCTGGAACCACGGATACTGTGAAGCAAACATACTTTTAAAGATTAGTAATCAGTAATCAAGGTTTACTATACATATGCGCCAATCTTCTTTGGATTAATTTTAAGTTACGGCCCATCATTTACAAGTATGGTCAATATAGTTTCTACGATGTAGGTGTTGTCTTTGTGTCGTTGATGACTTATGTCGTTTCTAGACATAAGAACAGACATCGTGAGTGACTCATGATGCCTGTTCTTATGTCTAGAAACGACATAAGGCATGGGGTAATGGTAATGTGTCATGGTAATTAATTGCAATTAATTACATTTTGTTAAGTAATTGGATATAATGTGTAATTGAGGATTTTTTTCAATTACATGTAATGGTAATTTAATTAATTGCATTGACAAATGTATGTAATTCCCAATTACTTTTAATTACTTTGAATTACTTTAATATTGAATGTTGATGTTTCATGCATCCTTTATATAGTTAAATCAAAAAGAAAGTTTCAAAAGCAAATCTTTATTATGTAAAGACACAGGTAATAAGAGGTTATACCAGTATTGATCCTAATCCCCTATTCCTAGCTTAGCTGTATATTGTCCTCCTTCCCAGAGACCAGGTAACTTGTGGTTTTGATAACAAAGGATTGCCACACAGTGAGTACATGTATCATAACAGGGTAGACCATTCAGAACATTCTATCTTCGTAAGGGTGAACTTATAGTGAAAACTACTAACAATGATTTACACCTTTACTTGAAAACTTCCCTGTATGAAACACAAACAACAGGTTGATAACAAGTAAAGGTAAATACATCATTTAAACTTGTATTTTATTTGGCTTGGATTAAAATAATATACCCAGAATATTAAATAAAAGTAATGTGCAATGGTAATTAATTATATTGGCAATGTAATTGTAATGGTAATTAATTACATTAAGAAAACCATGTAATGGTAATGGTAATGATAATGCTACTTTTCCAATGTAATGTGTAATTTAATTAATTACATTTCCAATGTAATTGCCCCATATTTTGCATGTAGTGCACGGGCGTCTAGTTTCTCCTCAAAAAATTATGTTATGTTTCATATTTACTTTGTGGCTGATGCATTTTTTAACCTCCACAGTTTAAAGTATTTAAGTGTACTTTGTTTAGCAGCTATGTGATCCTAACACAAACAAAAAGAAAAACAAAAATTCATTTTTTTGTGTCCAAATATCTTTTAGACAGATGTTATTATTCATTAATTGTCAGACAACAAATTGGAATATGTTCAGGTAGGCTATCATAGCACAACTATCAAACGATACAATAATAACATATTGGACTTCTATAAATTCTCATATAGATACACGTGTTTTTATTTGAAGTCTACATCGGTACACAATTAACCTTACGTGCAGTGTAGAATCTATGTTCTGACGTGGTTTATTTGTTATACTTCATGTATTCATAAACACAAAAACAGTTGTCTCGGTGATATTGACACAACATCTGTGAACTATTTATGTTTCATTTCATTGATTATGGTAATTGTGTTTATTCCAAAGAAGGTTTCACATCATTTCATATTTTATCGCTTATTTTTAACTTGCAAAAACGTTATTTCCATTCTGCCTATTTTATATCTGTTATCATTTAGATGCTGTTCTTGACTTATAGAAATAAGCTAACAGTGAGTCAGATCGGTGTTTGAATGGTTGAAAAAAGTATTTACGGTCTGCAAGTGAGGTGGTATGCA